AAAAAAAATGATATCTAATTAGAGATGAGAAAAATTTCTAATCGGGATTAGCAAGTTATTAAATAAATTTTAAATAGAGAGGAGCAAAAAATAAGAATTCCATACCAAATATATTATTATTTATTATATTAATTTACACTTTCAATCTGTTCTGAATCTTTTGTGCTTACACATGATAAAATATGAGGGATATGATCACAGGGAAATTGAAGGTTCTATGAGTGACAATAATGTGTTGTGTGAAGAAAACCATAGATTGAGATATGAAATATAGGCATAACAGTAGTACAATTTTATATTTTCAATTCATTAGGGTGAAGAAAAAAAGCAGGATGCATATGGAACTTCTGCGAGATTTACACATTACTATGCAAAACAGGTATTAAGATGGGAAACAATCAGATTGGTATTGCAACACTTTACAAATAATTTAGAAATAGACAAATATGTCTATGAGTTGAAATAGATATGTGATATTAAATAAATTTTGACAAGGCTGGGTCAAATTAAATCACGATAGCCCAAAATATATTTCGCCTTGTAGTAATTATTGCATACACGAGGTTTAAACTATTAGAGATTCTGAACAATTAGCAAATTTGTCTATATCACTATTGCACATTAATTAAAAGAATATTGATCACATTAAATTCAATACAGAGTATAATACGATATATATTAGATCAAGGCCCTCCTATCCTTTGTATCTAAATTGCAATTAAGATGAGCAATTATGGGTTATTAGTTATACATATATGGCAAACTAAGGGAGGGAATAGTCAAACTATTGTATGTCACAATCAGAAGAACATAATGTACACAACTACCTTATAATATAAACTAAAATTATGACCCAGGGCAGTCTAGTTTCAAGCCATTGTAGTATGAACCACAATTGGATGATATGAAATGGGTGATATGATATATCACATTGTAGCTAAATATGTACTATATTTAAGACTACAATAAGATTAGCACCTTTCACATATTTTGTATATCATTTTCATAAGAATCAACCAAAGAATATATATTACAAATGTACATGTTATTAGTATACTCCAACAGTATGATTCATATTAAATAAAGAGCGACGATAGCATATGATTACTTAGAATTATTAGAATGAAGTAATTACAAAGATCAATTGTAAAATGAAAAGATTTAGCCTATACATTAAAATAACCCGGTTAGAATAGTTTATAAGCATAATAAAACAAATATTTGAATGTACACAATGGGAGTGCTTGATCTACTAATTTTAAGGCACAATTCAAAGCAGTATAATTACAAGGTTGCAGACATACACATGTATATAATACAAGTGAAAGTCATATGTGAGGTAGTCACTATGTTAACACCATAATTGGTAAACATGCAATAATAAGAAAATAAATGTTGAAAAGAAAACTGTGAATATACTATACATGAAATGGCTTATTACATTCTACTGACAGATATACAACTCGATTCTATTTATACAACTAGCATTTTCTGCCGTTTTTTCCTGGTGTAAACTTTAAAAGGCACACTTTAAATGTTGTTACCGATAATATTGTTCAGTCATGACAATACATGAAATGGCTTATTACATTCTATGGGATAGAGATACAACTTATAACAACATAATTTCAAATTTTGCGACGTGATGGAAAATAAATATAAAATAAGAAGCCTTGCAAGAGAATGGCGGCAAAGTCCACCATGAACCATGCAAATGTGTCGCAGCAGTTTGAGGCACAGGGTCGCACAGAAGATAAACAATCAAAGTGCCAATTTATTTATCGACGTCATTTCAACACGTGGCAAAGCGCTAAAATTCGTTTGAATATTTCTCTTGAGAAAACAACAACACCGCGATGAGGGCGAACTTAACTGTGAATCGTAGGGTCGGCTTATATGTGATTTTTATAAAATCGCAGTTTCAAAACAGTTTTTCATGGAGTCGGCTTATATACACGACCGTCGTATAAACGAGAATATGTGGTAAGTTATTGTTCACAGTTTAGGTATGTGGGCTTCAGAATTTTGATAAAAAATGAAAATGTAGGTAAAAAAGCACAAGTATTTGCAATATACACAAACATTTTCATGCTGAATGTACCAGAACATACCGCTACGACTGTACAATTGTAGTCTATTAGGATACGATATTCTATTACTACATTATCGGCATTCGCTGCAGATTATATGAACTCTGGAACAAATCAAACTTTAAAAGGGATGTATGATACCGGTATGTAAGCTGCTGTTTCTGTTTAAAATCTAGTGACAAAAACAGCCGATTGCTATTTTCCAGTGATATCTGGATATTGAGACCGCTGCTCTATTGATTGATTAATTATTGTCTATGGTATTACAATATTGTAGTAGACTAAATATAAAATCAAAATTTTATTTTTGTTAACACAGTAACATCACATGAAAAGTATTTAAATTTTGATAATCCATGGAAGTTAATCTAAATTGCTGCGTTGCTTCCTGTAGTTTCAAAGGAGATAATTTGAAAGAAATTTTGAAGCATTTGAAAACTCATACTAAATTTGGATCAGTGATTATTTGCCCTTATATAAACTGCTTGAAAGATTACAGCAATTATAGATCATTCTGTAGTCATATTTATCGTTGTCATAAATCCATACATTATCCAATATGTGGAGCAACATCTTCATCCATAGATACTGAAGCTGAAACAAACTTTTCCGACGTGGAACCAGTGGCAATATCAGAAAATCCTTCAGAAATATTTTATAAACAAAGTGCGCTTTTTATGCATCTCTACAATATAGACATTTGGTTCCCGGTATCACAATTGACAAAATAATACACCAAGAATCATTGCTCATAATCAATCAAAGTGAAATTGTGTTGGATGTCATCAAAAATATCTCAACCAGTGGGGGTGTTCCTGAATCCGTAATTGAGGAGCTGCAGAGTTCTGTTTCTAATGCACTAATGTCAAATCCAATCAGTGATGGCACTCTCCGAACGAAATATTCTCGTGAACAATTTTACAAACGACAATTTCCATTTGTTGAACCAATATCTTTCAATATAGGGCGTTCTACTAACCGTGAATATTTGGAGCCGGCAACCTATGAATATGTCCCAATTTTACAGTCTATAAAAGCTTTGTTCAAATTTTCATCTATCAGACAACAGTTTTTGAATCCCCCTTGCAATGATGGACATCAAGTAGATGTAAAGGATGGAGAAGCTATTATGAATAATACATTTTTTCAATGTAATAACTCGTTACCTCGACTTCAAATAATCCTATATCAAGATGCTTTCGAAATTGTTAATCCCTCAGATAGTCTTAACTGATTCAGTGATTGCCGGTACATATGTTCAGTAGTTATTGAAGTATTTTTTAAACTTAAGAATAACTACCGGTACAATGACTTTATCAGACTGTATTGGTATAAGGCTGCAAGTCACATTGAGTGTACATCCCTTTTAAAGTTTGATTTGTTCCAGAGTTCATATAATCTGCAGCGAATGCCGATAATGTAGTAATAGAATATCGTATCCTAATAGACTACAATTGTACAGTCGTAGCGGTATGTTCTGGTACATTCAGCATGAAAATGTTTGTGTATATTGTCTACTCTCTGACACTTTCTATAAATCGAAGGGCAAAAATGGCTAACAGTATGATACCGGTATGTAAGCTGCTGTTTCTGTTTAAAATCTAGTGACAAAAACAGCCGATTGCTATTTTCCAGTGATATCTGGATATTGAGACCGCTGCTCTATTGATTGATTAATTATTGTCTATGGTATTACAATATTGTAGTAGACTAAATATAAAATCAAAATTTTATTTTTGTTAACACAGTAACATCACATGAAAAGTATTTAAATTTTGATAATCCATGGAAGTTAATCTAAATTGCTGCGTTGCTTCCTGTAGTTTCAAAGGAGATAATTTGAAAGAAATTTTGAAGCATTTGAAAACTCATACTAAATTTGGATCAGTGATTATTTGCCCTTATATAAACTGCTTGAAAGATTACAGCAATTATAGATCATTCTGTAGTCATATTTATCGTTGTCATAAATCCATACATTATCCAATATGTGGAGCAACATCTTCATCCATAGATACTGAAGCTGAAACAAACTTTTCCGACGTGGAACCAGTGGCAATATCAGAAAATCCTTCAGAAATATTTTATAAACAAAGTGCGCTTTTTTATGCATCTCTACAATATAGACATTTGGTTCCCGGTATCACAATTGACAAAATAATACACCAAGAATCATTGCTCATAATCAATCAAAGTGAAATTGTGTTGGATGTCATCAAAAATATCTCAACCAGTGGGGGTGTTCCTGAATCCGTAATTGAGGAGCTGCAGAGTTCTGTTTCTAATGCACTAATGTCAAATCCAATCAGTGATGGCACTCTCCGAACGAAATATTCTCGTGAACAATTTTACAAACGACAATTTCCATTTGTTGAACCAATATCTTTCAATATAGGGCGTTCTACTAACCGTGAATATTTGGAGCCGGCAACCTATGAATATGTCCCAATTTTACAGTCTATAAAAGCTTTGTTCAAATTTTCATCTATCAGACAACAGTTTTTGAATCCCCCTTGCAATGATGGACATCAAGTAGATGTAAAGGATGGAGAAGCTATTATGAATAATACATTTTTTCAATGTAATAACTCGTTACCTCGACTTCAAATAATCCTATATCAAGATGCTTTCGAAATTGTTAATCCCTTAGGATCTGCCAAAAGAAAGCATAAAATTCTGGCTTGTTATTTTTCTCTGGGAAACATCTATCCATATTGTCGATCCAAAATAAACTCTATTCAGCTGGTATTGCTGGTGAAAGAAAAATATCTTGAATCTTCAAGTGTTGAAGATATTTTCAAGCCTTTGCTGAATGATTTGAAAATTCTCGAAACTGATGGTGTTGATCTTGGCTTCGATGAACTTGTATACGCGGTAGCATTGTTTGTATTGCTGGATATAATTTGGGGAGTCATTGGCTTGGGGGTTTTGTTACAAATTTTGGAACTTCACAGTATTTTTGTCGTTATTGTACTATTCAGAGAAATGACTTTCACTCAAATCCAGTCAAGGTTGGCCTTGCTAGAACTCCTACGTCTTACAACAACGCTGCCGAGGCTTGTGAACTGGTTGGTGGTAATGTTCAAGGTGTGAAGCATAAATCTATATTCAATCAACTGAGCTATTATCATGTATGTGGACCAGGTTTACCACCATGCCTTGCGCACGACATTTTTGAAGGTGTCGTGCAATACGATCTTCCATTGTTTATCAAGTATTTTATTACCAAAAAGTGGTTCAGTTTTGATTACATCATAAATGCTATGGCAACCTTCCAATACAGCAGATTTGATGGGCCATCAAAACCGCCAATTTTACGAAGAAATATGGATAAGTTGGATGGTAGCACATCTCAAAATTGGTGTTTTTTGAGACTTTTTCCACTTTAGATTATGAAATACATCATCAATCCGGATGACCCTGTTTGGCAGCTTGTTCTTTTGTTGCGGCGAATTGTTGAATTCGGATCTTATTACGTTTTCAATATGCAATACCCGAAGGAGGCAAAGAAAACGTACGAGTTTGTACAACGGTGAGCTATTCTGAATGCTAGTTTAACAATCATATTATCACTTAATTAGATATACTCTGCGAGCATTCAGGCTTGCAAGGGCATTAGATTGGTTGGCGGTAAGTATTTAATGCTAAAAATATTAGAACTTAGTCAAAAGTTATTTTTATTTTTGTATATTTGTCGTTGAACCTGTTTACACATTCCATTTCAGATACTTCGCAGGAATTGGAGACAATGCCCCCCGCTCAAAAAAGAAGACTGATGAAAATAGACTACACCCAAAAGTTCAGGCCCTACTGGAAAAATTCCAATAATTCAATATACCATCAACAATGAAAACTTCCACAAACTTTATACAAAGAAACTTGCACTGCTTTGGACAGATTACACTTTTTCACTGTTTAAATTATATTTCAGATGATAATGTGACTTATCCATTTGACATATGAAAATTTGGAAATTTCTCATTTTAAGGTTTTAGCTGTTTTTATGAAATTTAGTTTTTTTTTCACTCATTCTATTCCTCAGTGTTTCTATTTTATGGTTTATCACTGTTTTTTTTATACAATTTTTTTCTTCAGGGTTTATTACTGTTTTCACCATTTCTTTCTTCATGGTTTATCACTGTTGTACAATTTCTTTCCGTTTCATTCGCATAGTTTCCAATTTCATTTTATTTGTAAATAAATTCGGTTTCTTATAATAGCCTGTAATATTTACTGATTATGTCCGGTAAAATGTAATGCCAGGAGGATAACGGTGATTTTTACCGGGTTTTTGAATGTAAGTTCACCGGATTTTAAACGTAAATTTACAGGATAGCGTCGGTAAATATTACTACGGATTGCCGGTAATAATTACCGGAAAAAACTTGTAAGGATTACTAGTAACATCCTGCGAAATTCACAGGTGATTAACGGCGATTTTACCGGAAATTCCTGTAACTTTTACCCTAAAATTGCATTAAAGTTTCGCAGCTGCATTCCTGTAATATGTAATGCCAGGCGATTGCCGGTAAAAATTTCTTAGAGTGTAGAGTTAATTGTGTTTGTACATGATTTGGCATGTACATAATTTTTATGTGAGATGTTTTATAAGTGCCTTTCTTACGCATAATTGGTGCCCAACACAGATTTTCATTACGCAAATATATGGTATTATTTTATGTTTCACCCATTTCAATTTCTGGCCGTCACATTATTTGATAGTTTTCCTTCGTGTGAAATGTTTATAAGTGCGCCTTTTTTTCCTAAAAGCATATTGAGTGCCCGACATCGCTTTATATTACGCAAATATATGTTAGTCGTTTCCTTCCGGTCATTTCAATTTTTTTACCGGTCCGCGAGAACATTTAATTCAATTTTACCGGTCCGCCAGGGTAGAAAGGTTGGGAACCACTGCAATAGAACACAAAGTATTGTGTGCCAAATGTTTAAAGCGGAATATACGAGAATTGGCCGAAACCGCAAATGCTCGGAGAGCAATTTAATCTGGCGCGGCACAGGATTATGAGAACAGACATTTTCCAAATGCCATAAACGCTGAATTCGAGATTGTTGTGCTTATTGTATTGAACTCATGTAAAGAAATGAATATTGCAAAATTACAATCTGAATATTAAACTAGATAGCGATCAGAGACCGCCGACTTATCGCGGCGTGTATCTTTCGCTCTCACTCATTAGTGACACCGCGTGTCCCATCACTAATTAATCAATAACTCGCTAATTATACAACATAATTCATCCAAAATCAATAGGCTTCTGATGCAAGATATGATGAATGCATATGCAAAATTAAGAGCGGATTCATCCTCGCTTTCGTGAGATATCGCGTGTATCTAACAGACAAAGAGAAAAATGCTTATCAACATACTTACCGATCAAGATCGATAAGTAATGAATTGATAACCATAATTTTTTATCCCATCACGCTATTATTGAAAAGAGTTTCCTCTATAGCAACAGCTTTTCAGATGACAAAGCTCGATAAATTGTTTTAAACGAGCATTTTTTTGCATGAAAAGCTACAAGTCGCACTCAACTAGACTCAAAAAACTCACAGTTTATTGCAAAAATGTATAAAATTAAATTCGCTAACAGTAAACTACTTGTGGACGGAATAAAGTGGAGGCGAAGTTTTTCGAAATAACCAAGCCTGAGGGTTCTCGTTATTTTAGAGAAAAGTATATATATAGAAGTACTATTATTCCTGAAGACACTTCCATCTCTAAATATCACTATTTTATCCTAAAGCAACAACAACATCCGAATGGACAGCCATATTTTAGCAAAAGCACCGATCTCTTTATTTCTAATTTATCTAATTATATCTAATCTAATTATATCTAATCTAATAATATCTAATTTATAATTCTAATTTATTTCTAATAATGTATCGGAGTGGCGTAACTTTTGACACTAAGTTAAAAGTTCATACATAAGTTTTCAAGATTGATTACGATGCTCCTTTTCGATTCAATGGAATAAATTTTATCAACCCCTCTTTACACCATAACAAACGAATTTTTTCACAGACGGCATATTCTGGAAAATATAATTATACAGAAAAATATTGGAAAAAATTCAAAGGCTCCACTTAGACTTAGAGCGAGGGGCGTAATAGTTCTTATTTTTTGCGAGATTATGAATCTAGTCAATGAAATGGAAATATGGATATTATTGATATGAAATTAAATTTGGATTTCCTGATGTATATGCATGTATGTATGGAATCCTTGGACTGAATTCAAAATATAAACTTTATTTTTTCATGTTTAATAATCTCTCAATATTTGTTTTCCTTCGATAAGTAAATGGCTACGTTGTTAAAAGAGAATCCAAGACTCCATTTTAATTTTTCAAAATCATAATCTCAATAATTATAGCGCCATATGTAAATCATATGTTCAATTATATCAATTTTATGACCAAGATAGTCTTCACATTATTATTGGTGTCATAGATATAAGTATATTAAATAAATTCCGAATCTTTTTTAACTGAAGGTTCTCGTTTTTGCAATTGTGGATCGTTCATAAAGGTAAAAGCGATTAAGAAATGTGCATAGATAATATGTAATTTTGAAATCAATTAGTTTTTGACGATGAACACTTATTGGTCTTACATTTGTTTGATAGACTGAAGAAAGATAAAAATTTATGAAAATCGAACAAGCTTATTTCAATTAATTTTTCCTATTTAAGTGATTCCGCGAGACTATTACTATATTTATTGTTAAGTGGATATTATGCATCCCATAATTACCTCAGTCATATATACTTATTGAAAAAAATTGATCCATTTGCAAGATAATTGATGAGTCTCAACCCAGAGAAACATGGTTAAATAGCAACCGATCTTATCTATTGACGAGTCACCACCCCAGATTAGGCGAATTAAATTGACTCTACTTTTAAATCGATAACGATAATTCATTCAAGTAGAAAGCTATAGCTGTATGCATACGCATGATTTCATAGAAACATGTTACAAACTGACAGCAAAGCAAGATGAAACTTGGATATTTTGCACTTTTTGTTGTATATGCCGCTGTGGTAGTTGAAGTGACACCATTTGATACCGGCGCAACTCCACCGCCTACAAATAACCATGGGGAAACGAGGTAAGCAGTTATAAAATACGTCATATTCAAAGGATGGTATATATATATATATATATATGTATGTATAAGCTTGAAATTTAATTCTTGTTGTCAGACTTTGAGCAATCTTTCATTTTTTTCAAATCAATGACATTCTGATCTTTTACGCACATACTTGAGTCGAAATTAACTGGCTTCAAGGGCAAACACTATCATCTTCGTAAACTCTTATTCTCGATGACTTATTCTTATACTGTAATACTTTCAAACAGAGGACCGTTGCCTGTGAGTTGGGGAAAGAAAAAACGTTCGATATTTCACGACGACAATTTTGCTGGTAAGATTCTATAAAATCGACTCCGGATGAATTTCTTCTTTTTTCCATAAAACAATTAATAATTTTATATGTACTTGATATGTTTTGTCGAATTAATTAGAAATCTCTCAATAAAGTTATCCATATGTATACTGTAGTTAGAGCTGTCGATTATGGAATTACGTTGGCTGACATTGTATATATATAAAAAATATTTTGAAATTTCGTCGAGTCCCCACCAGAATTATTCAATCGTAAGCTCCATAGATCAATCAAAATAAAAAAAATAAAATAAAAAAAAGTCTAGCCAGAAGACTATTCAAATATATTTGCATCTTCACATAATTTAAATTCAAGTTTTAAATCTTGACTTAATGGCGTCTTCTAATAATTGTGTATTATAAATATACAAATACGTGTTACAGACTTCCTTGCTGATTTTGACAACATGAATAAAGGAGAGCCAAGTGAATGATCAAACCATCGGCAATTCAAACAGCTTTCTGTGTCATTTTGAACTCAACTGAAATTTATTGAATGCAATTCCAGTTACATTTGTTTTCTTAAATCAAATAAACTTGAAGATTTACAATTTTTGAGACAAATATATTATTCTCTATACTGCTGAAGCAGGGTGATCAGAGTTCTGATCAAATGTTACAATGGTCAGGTTAATTTAATAGAAATAGTTCTGACAGACTCTAAAGGGGTTTGATTCAGGCCTATTTTTTTAAAGCGCGGATCTTGAATCTCCGATCAGATGTTTTGCAGATGCCATGCCATCAAAATCTTTTAGATTGAAATTTTTTATCCCTAACGTTTTCACATAATCGTGAAGTCACGTTTCCTCGGTAAAAATCGATTAAAAAGAGCAGCAATACCCAACGTAAGAGATAAATATTTAGGAGCACAATAAAATAATCAGAATTTCACAAACATGCGCTGAATAAATGCATAAAACACGGCGCAGCATCGTATTTTTGTAAATCGTTTGCAATAAATAACCCAGTGTTTTTGATGACAACTAATACTGTTATGCAAGTTGTCTAGCTCCTATAGCAGTGGTTCTTAAAGTATGGGTCGCGGAAGGTTTGAAAATGGGTCGCGACAAGGTCGTCAATGCAAGGGCAATCTAAGAGGAGGAGGACGAATTTTCAGCTTTCCCAATGTTTCAATTTAGCTTCTAAACTTTGGTATTTAAAAATAATGAAATATAAAATTTCATTCACGGAAAGAACTGTCTTGGGCTGTTACATCACAATTCTGATATGCCAGTCACGTGTATTATTTTTATGGTATCGGTAACCATGCACGTCGCTTGTCATTGTGTTGACCGCATGGAATGTCGTCTTAGTGGATTAAAATAACCAAAAATGGGTGTCTATTTGGTAATGTAAATTGTAATAGACGACGCAATGAAAAAGCTCGCTTCTCGACATTAGATTATTCAATAACTAGAGAAAATGTGACTTCATCTCGAGGCACCATTTACCGCGAACGAAGCAGTGTGTGCACATTTGAGTAAAAAGTTGTATATTGCGAGAGATACCGAAGGCCAGCTAGGATGTTGTGTTTGCGACGGACAGCGGACGCCTTTTCTGCTACAATTCGCGACAAGGCACTTGTGCGAGCGAGGATATTTGGCACTGACGGTTATCAAAACTAAGCTCGCAATCGCCTCGATACCCGTGACAACTTGCGTATTGCGTTAAGTAAAATAAAGCTGTGTATTGAAGATATAATGAAAAGGAAATTTCAGTTTCATCAATCTCACTGAGTCAATGGAC